TATTTAACTAATAACTAGTACAAATAAGAAGAAAAACGACTATCAAGACTTTGAAAAAGCTGTTGTAATTTAAGCAACTATAATGAACAGTTGCATAATTTTAATCTTACTTTAGGAATTGGAAGCGAAGCAATTCTTTTAATAAAAGGAAGAAAAAGATTATCAAAGGTTTTTTCTAAGAAATCAATATTGCAGTTTTGACAAATATTTACACTAATAATATGACATTGAGATAAAAAATATACAAGAACAACAGTGATAAAGTCAAAAATTACATGCACAAGTTAACAAAATGAAGTCATAGGAATAGACACAAAATCATAAACAAAATAAAATATAAACATATAAATTTTATTAAACTACAAAAACAAGTTTCTATTTATTTATTATTTAACATCAATAATGATTTATAATTTATTAATAACAGAGGACCACCGTTGTTTTTTTTTGTTACTTTTTTTGATTTTGTCTCTGTACGATATCCTCAACTATCTAATTATTCGTAAGCACACAACTCTATACAATACTGCTGTGACACTAAGCTTAGGTTAATTGGTCTCGGCTCAAAACGAAAGAAGTCGTGTCTTGACTGTAAACAAAAAAGACTCTTTCCAAGCAGACAACCCAGGAGGTACGTACTTTTGGCTAGGAGAGGGAGAAAAAAAAGCTTTTAGTATTAATAACGATGGTCCACATAATAATAGAGATGACGATGACAATATAAAGATTGTTACAAAATTGCAAGAAAATTCTAATACTATTGATGATTGCACTTTAAAAAACTGATATTTACATCTTTTTTATAATTTACTTATAAAAATTTTTTAATAAATTGAAAATTTTTTTATAAATTACTTATGAAAAAATAGAGTTTACTGTTCTAACTGCTACTCAGCATATAATTACTTATGTAAAAAATGTCACTGAAATCTAATTAACGCTTTTTCTGGAAACTACGCGTTCGATAACTACAACTATATTGAAGATGTTCAATGGAGAATGGATCAAGCAACAATACAGTCATTTTCTTTTTCATTTTAAGTTGATAAAGACAAATTCAGAATTAACAGTTTTAATTTATTACCAATTTTCCTTTTCTTTTTCTTTCTACTTTTTTTTCTTTTTCTCAACGGCGATCCAAATGTAGCGTTTTGCGTGGTAGTCGGAACATAGTCCACCCTTTGATATTGTGAATTGTTCTTCGACTTGGCTTTGACATAATTTATATCTACAGTTGCATTATCAAATCTTACATTAGACATAGGAGGAATTAGATTTCCATTTGCATGGAAATTGGCGAGCAGTGTTGTTAAGTTGATTACATCTGTCATTTTTTACATATTTTTTTTTGGTTGTAAAGGGACTTTTTGACATAGCTCCTCGCTACTGTCACTGATTTCCAACCTCCGTGCTCATTAAATCGTTTTCATTACCTCCGCAGTCTACAAGCAACGTTGCCGAATTCCTTCNTTTAAGTATTACAGTAATACTTTGATAAAAAAAAACTGAAACTAATTTCATTATGGGAATATGTTTATTGTTATGGTACTTATAGTAAGACGTAGTAAAATTGAAATATGTCCAAACGTGTCACAAAGCACTTGTCAGTGATGGTTAATGGCAAGAGTTTCATTGGTAGCTCTCTCTCTTCTGCACGTATCTTTAACTTGCTGTTACGTACAAAATCCCAGTGTAAAGTTCAAAGACTACAGCATTAGGAAAAGCTATATGGCTTGGTCTTACTCTGCTTCCGTGATTTCCACATGTATCCTAGAGATGTGTGTCTGTGATGACAAGAGCATTAATTCGTTAATGGCAGCTATCGGTGTGTTGTTGTACCAAGAAAAAGTATTGTAATGGTAGCCAATCCATAGTGATATGCTGGAAAATAGTGTGTAGTGGGCCAAGTAGCATACGGTGTGCCTACGTGGCAAGACAAGAACATATCCTCGAGCTTGTTGTGAGGTTAGCGGTGGAGTAGCACAGCGTGATATTGGCAGACTCTTACCAGCTCAGACACCGTTAAGTCCGCGACTCTGGTTACGCAAGCAAAAGCACGCCCATACACGGAAACCCAAGCTCCTTGGTGCCCTAGATACGGATAGCATCGCTGAGAACATCAAGTTGCATTTCACTTGAAATATCCCAGTAGGTAAACATATCTAGTGTTAGTACTGTATGTTGTGTTTTGTCGAAAAAGCCATCCCTAATAACCCTACCTTAGTGCATTAGACTTAATTTAAGCTTCCTATCGTGAGTTACTAGGTAAAAGACACAAAATAAAAACGAACTGAAAATATAACAGTAAGCCATGACGCTGGCATCGTTTTCTTTGTGGTGTATGGCTCTATGACTCTTATCTAAGTGGCTAATATTTTTGTAGATAATTTATGAGCTAATATTTATACAATGTCTTGTTACCTTAAATCACTTTGGGTGGTGCCAAGTGCAGCTGTAAAAGAGTAGTCACTCAGTGCATGTGTTATATAAGTATACAAGTAAGTGTTCTTTCAATTAAGTAAAAAGACATTCAATCCTACATAACTGTACTATACTACTAGTTGCGATAATAAATGCTACACAAGACCTGTAAGAACCTAATCCCTTTTTAAGTGAATTATAAAATAAAGTAATAACACACGTTTGCTATAAGCCCGTGCTATTGTGTCACAATAGAATTTTGGAGATCATTCATAATATATTTAAACATGCAAGGTAGAATAGCTTTAAAAGGGAAGGGTAAAGGTTTAAAACATTTTTGAATTTTTTTACGTATTTTATTTACCATTATTTATTCCTCACTTTAACTTAAATTACTTATACATGTATATGGGTGATTCTGCTGTAACTTGCTCAGATGAAGTTAAAAAATTTTTTTTTAAAAAGTTTGTTTTGAAAAAAAATTTTTTTCATGTTACTTTTACTGTACTCATCATTAGCAAAAAATATCTGAAACTTTTTAGCACGTGTAGCTGAGCTCCTTTAACAGTTCGAGTGTTCTATTTGGGCTTAAATAAAATCTGAGATAAATACCTGATGATTAGAATAAATTTTTTTTCGATCTTGTGACTCCATTCAAAAGTTACAGCTGTTTAAATTAGAGCGTTATTATCGCTGATAATGTGATTTTGGCTAAAATTTAGTATTTTTCATAAAATCACTACAACTTTTCATTCAGGGCATAAAATTTAAAGCTCATTATTTTATTTATTAAGATATTGTTTTTGCTTTCATTAAAGCCCAGATAAAGTTACCTAATGAAGTGCACTTCTTGGCTACCAACGTTGGGAGCAGCACCACCGTTTCTGCATTCATGTAGCGAAAACGGACGAATTGAATAAAATCCCGAGACATGTATTTTTTTTTCAGCCCAACAATAATGCAAAAAAAATTTGATTGGGATTGATTGCTCTAAAACGAAAAAAAGGCACTGTATGGTGAGGAACGGTCAGAATGGAAAAGTTTGGAATGGAATTTCCAAAATTTGTAAAGCTCGTACGACTCATAGACGTATTACAATGACTAGTCCACCCAGAATTTATTTACTTGCCTCCAATGCAATAAGAAACTATCGTTTGCATACCTGCACACGCACACCAAATGGTTATTCCATGGGGGTTGGAACGGAATGAAATGTTTGTACGCGGAAAATTCACAAAAAGAAGAGCTTGGCTATTCGAGAGGTAACAACTTAAGGTTTTACTATCATTAGTTTAAAAATTTACTAGTGGTACGCATTTCCAATCCAAAAAGTTACTATTTAGAGCTAATTTTTGTTAAAACCACGATTAGGGTGCAAATATGTCGACAAAATGTGAGCAGTGAAAACTCACTCGTCTTTGTCCATTTTTGGTGTGAGTAAGGTACAAATCTAATCACCAATAGCTAAAATATACGATACTTACACGCCTAAGTGGCGTATAAGCCTTACTATTTACCAGTGAAAGCTTTTATGAATAAAATTTAGTTGTGGACATGTGTCGGGATAGAAAGTTTGACTCTATATAATCGGTTATTGATGAGGGGATTATTGATATATCGATTCCATGAAGGGATCAATATAATAATATAAGATAGTAAGTGAAGTAAAGTTAACAACGTTCAACAAAATTAAATGCTTTTAGAGTTTTGGATTTCATTATGGCACGTGAGTAAGAGTACCGGACACGATCTGAGCAAGTTACAGCAGAATCACGCATATACACATTTATTTTACCGAAGACAGTAATAGCTTTCAAAAGGAAAGACAGCTAACTTGACAGATAACTTGCAGAAATCAATTCATAATTTCTTTTCGTAATAACGAAACTTGAAGACTCTTAAAGGAGTCATAATTAAGAAGAGTTCTCCCCTAAGAAAGCTGACTGAGTTCTTTGTGGCTGTCAAAAGTGTCAAGAGACAAACACAGGGAATCATTAAGTCTTAACACATGGAGTTAGAAGGTGCTGGCCCTATCATACGTAGAGCAAAGAAAATTCTACTAAAAATTCACTCTAGGTACGTTTCTTTACGCACCATTTTAGTTAGTACTGTTCCACCACCCATAAGGTGTAAAATTATTTTTCAATAATTCTGCCAAGTGTGCTACTTGTTATATTATCATGCTTACCCTGATATTGCTCTTATAAGTGTTAACATAAGTGTTTTAAACTCTTAATAGCGATGGAGGAAATAATAAATGTATTTTATTAAATAATAATAAGATATCCTTTAGTTGATTGATCATGCAATAATAATATAAGAAGGAAGCGAGAATAATAATACAACATAATAACAACATCGTAAAGAAAGATAAAAAGCTTATATAAATCTTCGTGGAAAAAAAATTAGGTGAACCAGTTTACAATCTTCTAATACCTCTGTTATGCTAGCAGTTCCTCTTCTTTTTATTTTTCAACTAGTATAGTCCATTTTTATTATCTAAGTATTCATCTATGTATAAGTAAAAAAATATCAAGAATCAAACGCCAATTAGTAATTTGCTTTATCATTTATTGCAGATTTCAAATTGGCTACAGCTGTCCAAAATGCAGTATCGTTAGTTTTTGTAGTTATAGCTGCAGAATAAGAGGAATTAAAAGTTTTCATAATTATGAATGTAAAATACTTCCAGCTCTGATTGGTAAGTAACTTATTTAATTTGAACATTCAAGTAACTTTGAGTGATGCTACATATAATTTTTAAAAGGAAATGATGGCTCGTCAGGGTCTCGGATGATATTCCTTTTCTTTACATTGAGTTACTAAAGATTCAGTAGGTGTATGACACATGTCTTTAGTAACTTAATGAAGTAATGAAAGTTTCTTTTAATCTTATCTATTTCAAAGTTATTAGTCACACTATCCACCTAACATTTCTCTTAACTTTTAACAGCGTAGAAGTCAGTGCTTCAACCAAGGCATGATCAACAAGTCTTTTAACCACAAGATTTTCATCACAGATTTATGAGTAAATACAATGTCTTGTTCAGTTTCAAATAACATAAGATAAAAGTGCAGCTCATGCTAATGAGGTTGAAACTGTAGTTGATTTATGTAATTGTATTTCTTCTTAAAGGTGTTATTTTAATTGAACCAACTGTATTGTCAAAATAAAATTTAAGAATAATATATTTAGGTAGGAGAGAGATAAGCTTCAATATTTTAGTAAATGAATACTTAACAAAGTGTTTATACTTATTGCAGTGTTAAATAGAGGATAAAACGTTTTTTTTTGGTAGCACTTTACCATTATAACATAAATTACTTATACATGTATATGGGTGATTCTGCTGAAACTTGCTCAGATCGTGTCCGNCTATATCCTCCATACATGCCCTTTTTCTCAATATCTATTATATTTAAGAGTCATGATATCAAAACACATTATTTCTTCTTCAAAAAAATTTTCCTTAAAAATAAATAAGAATAAGACAAATATCCTCCCTGGGTACGGTTTAAACACATAAACCTCTTGTTTACTAGATGGTTGCTCTACCACTTTAGCTACCAAGAAGGCGTATTTTTACTCGCACCGTAAGTTTAGATAAGTTTCTCATTCTTAATTTTCAGAGCTGTCTTTCACCAAAGCCCGATAAAGTAGTTACGTGACTTTGATACTTGTCGGTAAATTAAATATTTATACGACCAATGGTATACAAGCGAAAGTTAAGACGTCTCAATCATTGTATCAGGAGGTACGAGTGCATAGATGGTGGCACTTTCAATACAAACATTCAATATCTTTCATACATGCCTTTTTTTTATATTCATTATAGTGAAGACTCATAAAATCACACCACATTTATTCTTCGTCAATAGAATTTTCCTAAGAAATAAAATAAATGGGACAAATATCTTTTCCGGGTGCAGATCAAACACACAACCTCCTATTAACTAAACAGTTGCTCTACCACTCGATCTACCGAGAAGCCGTACATTAACTTGCACCGTAAGTTTAGATAAGTTTCTCATTCTAAATTTTCAGAGCTGTCCTTCACCAACTGTCTAGTAATCAGAAGGTTGTGCGTTAGATTGGAACCCGTGTAGGATATTTTTTTCATTTTTATGTATTTCTTAGGAAAATTTTCTTGAAGAAGAATTAATGTGGTTTGACATTATGGGTCTTAGACATAATTGATGTTGAAAAAAAGGGCATGTATGGAGGATATAGAGTACTTGTGTCAAAAGTGCCGTCATCGATGCATATGCACCCATTGATAAAATGATTTAGGTGTATCAACATTCGCTTGTATACCATAGGTCGTATGAATTTTTAATTCACCGCCAAGCATTAGAGTCACAAAACTTCTTAAATTTTTTATTCTCTCTCGTTTAAAAAAAAAAATTCCTTTAACAGATGTTTTTTTTTATGCAGAGTCTGTTATAGAAGTTTCATGTATTGTATATCAAAAATAGGTCGGTCAGTGTGGTAATCTATTCGTAAGAGAATCACCCTTTCACGATAAAATGAAGTCATGTTTATCAATATTATAAAAGATTATATGGTTCTATAAAGTCATGTATGAGACTAATTAAGAAAACTTATTTTATGAATAAGTGACAAATTTCTATGCTATTGCTATGTAGATAAGAAGTATTCAAACACTATAAAATTATATCCACAGATAAAATGCAAAGTCAACGGGTTGACTTATAAGCTAATAATTCATAGTTATTCTCGATACCGAATAAAAGAAAATAAGAAATTATTTATTCTTATAAGACCTATTGACAAAAAAAATGAAGAGTACAAATCTCTTAGAAACAATTTTAAGGTGTACGGGAAAAACACTTTAACAAACTATAATCAGTAGACATAAGATTATTACTCAGATACATTATACCTGTTATGTAGAGGTAAACTTGAATTTAACTGGAGATAAGGAGCGTATGCACATAAAAAACTAAATGAACAAAAAAAAATACGCTACGTAGAAAAAATACGACTCGGAAAAAAAGGAAACTCAAAGTTCTCTTTTTATTTTGAAACGTCATGTCGTTAAAACTTCTATCATCACAATGTCTGTCATCACAATGATAATAACAATCATTATGAAAAAAGCAAGAAGTTATTTTAAAAAAACTACGAAACGTAGTGTCTCAGAAAAATGTATTTCATACACCAACAATTAACTGAACTTAGAGCCCCAATTGACTAAAAAAGGAGAACCAAAAGAACATGAACCAAACGAACTTTATTTTATCATTAGGAAGAAATCTAACAAATCTCAATCCTACAAAACTTGAACTCTAATGAGATCACAGTGTTTAATACTTCTAAAACGTACACCATAAAAATCAGGAATAGTCTCACAAATAAATAGTTATTTGGTACTTTTTTTTTTAAGGCTTATGATAAACCTTCATTACAATAACACTAAAGACGAAAACCGACATAGAGCCCTATGATTGTAAAGTTATAAAATAATGAGGAAGCCGATTGAAAATAAAAAAGCACCTACTTTCCTATTAACACAGTTATACATAACTAACTTTTACTATTATTGACGCTAACGACTGATTCATTAAAAAATCTGATGAAAGACAAAAGAAAAGAACTTACACATCTACTTTCAGATAAAATCTACTGTTAGCCAAGCAGAGAAAATTTTTTTATGATTATCACCAAAAGGTGGGAAAAATTTTCCATTAGGTATTATTCAAAAAAGACACATATGTTCTCTACCATGGGTTATAGAAGAAGAAAAACGTAGAGAGACTTCTAAAGCCATTTGTCTGGATTTGAAACTCTAGAATATTGTCATGCCGTTAGAGATCTACAGAAAAGTATATTCAAAGGATGTATAAAAAACATCAATTTTTAAACTGCTTTTTAATTATTGCAGAATAGTCAGCCTTAATGTCACAAAGAATATGCCAAACCCATTTGAAAAATGTTAAGAGCTAAGTATAAGACGAACATGAAATTTTTTTTTTTTTTTTTTTTCGTCAAGAACAAATTGAATTAAGAACGTTTCAAAGGCATTTTGGCTTATTCAAATAGAAACAATGTCTTAAAACTTTACAAATAAAACGAACTTTCAATAATACTATGGACTTACGAAAGAAAATCAAAATTGTCAGAAAATGAACGATATTACAGAATCGTACTATTCATCAAGCTACATTTAACGTCAAGAAAATACATCACACAGCTCCAAGGCTCTTATTTTAAGCTTGAATCAAAAAATTAGTGAATTTATATTTTGTGTAATTATAACTATTACGTATTTAATTCATACGAGAAGACATGGATCTTAATATATATAATTTGAAAAAATGAATTTTATTACAGTTATTTAGTGTATTCCAATTTTTAAAGTTAAACACAAGTTATACTTATCGCAGTTTTAAATGTCATAAATTTATATATAACATTGCTCTATTGACAATGTAAAACTTATAAAATGAACTAGTATTTTTGAGATAACCTAGAGAACAACGATATGTTCCTCTCTTTACAATAAACTTAAGTACTAGATTCCTGAAAATAAGATTTAAAGCAAAATCTTTCATTTTTTAGAAATTCATACGACCAATGGTATACAAGCGAATGTTAATACATCTAAATCATTGTATCAAGAGGTGCATATGCATCAATACAAGCACTCTATATCCTCCATACATGCCCTTTTTCTCAATATCTATTATATTTAAGAGTCATGATATCAAAACACATTATTTCTTCTTCAAAAAAATTTTCCTTAAAAATAAATAAGAATAAGACAAATATCCTCCCTGGGTACGGTTTAAACACATAAACCTCTTGTTTACTAGATGGTTGCTCTACCACTTTAGCTACCAAGAAGGCGTATTTTTACTCGCACCGTAAGTTTAGATAAGTTTCTCATTCTTAATTTTCAGAGCTGTCTTTCACCAAAGCCCGATAAAGTAGTTACGTGACTTTGATACTTGTCGGTAAATTAAATATTTATACGACCAATGGTATACAAGCGAAAGTTAAGACGTCTCAATCATTGTATCAGGAGGTACGAGTGCATAGATGGTGGCACTTTCAATACAAACATTCAATATCTTTCATACATGCCTTTTTTTTATATTCATTATAGTGAAGACTCATAAAATCACACCACATTTATTCTTCGTCAATAGAATTTTCCTAAGAAATAAAATAAATGGGACAAATATCTTTTCCGGGTGCAGATCAAACACACAACCTCCTATTAACTAAACAGTTGCTCTACCACTCGATCTACCGAGAAGCCGTACATTAACTTGCACCGTAAGTTTAGATAAGTTTCTCATTCTAAATTTTCAGAGCTGTCCTTCACCAACTGTCTAGTAATCAGAAGGTTGTGCGTTAGATTGGAACCCGTGTAGGATATTTTTTTCATTTTTATGTATTTCTTAGGAAAATTTTCTTGAAGAAGAATTAATGTGGTTTGACATTATGGGTCTTAGACATAATTGATGTTGAAAAAAAGGGCATGTATGGAGGATATAGAGTACTTGTGTCAAAAGTGCCGTCATCGATGCATATGCACCCATTGATAAAATGATTTAGGTGTATCAACATTCGCTTGTATACCATAGGTCGTATGAATTTTTAATTCACCGCCAAGCATTAGAGTCACAAAACTTCTTAAATTTTTTATTCTCTCTCGTTTAAAAAAAAAAATTCCTTTAACAGATGTTTTTTTTTATGCAGAGTCTGTTATAGAAGTTTCATGTATTGTATATCAAAAATAGGTCGGTCAGTGTGGTAATCTATTCGTAAGAGAATCACCCTTTCACGATAAAATGAAGTCATGTTTATCAATATTATAAAAGATTATATGGTTCTATAAAGTCATGTATGAGACTAATTAAGAAAACTTATTTTATGAATAAGTGACAAATTTCTATGCTATTGCTATGTAGATAAGAAGTATTCAAACACTATAAAATTATATCCACAGATAAA